TTAAACAAGCCTGTCGAGCTACTCTACTGTATGAGAGACAGCCATGCACAAAGCGCTTGAAATAAGAGACTGTCTAGGTGCTTTCCACTGACTGCAAGATTATGACGAAGAATCCTATCAGAGACACTGTTTTGCTGACTGGAATCAGGCTGTGTAAAAGGTTTATGGTGTATTTCTGCATCACCCAAATTAAGTAGTAACTGCTTTTGAAATTAGCTGTGTTCAATATCACACAAATTTGTACATCTATGACATGCAAAGTTATACAAATATATGTGCAGCTGCAGTGAGATTTATATTGTTTGATTGTTCTCGGTACTGTGAGTTACCAAATAATTTCCTTTATCATCTAATTAATGTGAGCATTACACACAAAAATTATACTTAACAAAAAAACCTAACATCTGGCTTGAGCTCAATCCACAACACTTTTGGACAACCAGAACAAACTCTCTCTGGGTCAGAGACAGGAAGCAGATGGCCTTTCTTCACTCTCCACGTGGAATCATACGGCCTCCATAAGCCCATTAACACCTACAGCACAGTAGCCATGCTGCGGTGCTGTGTATTAAACCACAGTTGCACATCTTTAATTCAGTGATCACTGATGTCTTTCTTGTTGAACACAAAGTTGCACTGAAGCCATTAGTAGTGAATTGCTAAGAACAGTGTGAAAACCCAGTTAAACCATGCGGTTTTAAACTGCCTCCTCCTCGCCATGTTTTTGGAATCATTTCCAGCTGCTCCACAGCCACTAATGGCACCTTGGGCCCACATTGCTGTTTTAACACTGGCCAAGTCTCAGCCCCCTCCTGACTACTAGAAGCTGTGGAGGTTTTCAACTACTGTTCAACAAATGATTTTAGCCCGTATTACGAGCAATAAAAAGAAGACATCCCGCTGACTGCCCTGAATGTTGTGTTTATTCACACGAGCAGATCCCATAGTACTCTATGTTCACAGTAGTTTAGCTTCTTTTCAAAATGTACCACTTCTATATGCTTGAGGAAATCCTTTAAAGATGCAGAATAATCCAATAAAAGCCAAAAGGTAATGCTTCAAATACTAGTGTAAGGGAATACAGACAGTACCTACACATACAGCTCAGTATGAGCTCTCATTTATTTTCTACCACTTAGTCCCGCAGGGCTAACACATAGATGAACAACCATACACACGCATGGGCAATTTAGAGACACCGATCAACCTAAGCTGTATGTCTTTGGACTGTGGGAGGAAGCCAGAGTACCTGGAGAGAACCCACACAAGCACAGGGAGAACATGCAAACTCTACACAGAAAGGTCCCAGGTGGAGCCCAAACCCAGAACTTTCTCGCTGTGAGACCAAGGTGCTAACCACTGCACCACCGTGCTGCCAGCGCTCATTCAAGTATGTTAAATTAATGTACATCACTGAGCCTATTGTTTTTTTATGTTTGTCTTCTTTTCTGGCATGCAACGTTTCTATTGGTCTTTAAATCTTCTCCACAGAGGACTATATTGTCATTGACACAGTGTACAGAGAAAGTGGACCACTAAAATGTTCACCCCCTTGTGGGACCATGAGAATTTCACAGGTAACCCCACTCGGTCGCTTAGAAGCCATCAATGCCATCATCTCAGAGAGAAGGCTTTCCCTGATAACCTTCGACCTCGCACACTGTCGGTGTAGAAGCAGCCAGGGTTTGTGTGTGTTGGGGGCAGCAACACTCACGTAAAAACACTCGCTGACCAGAAAAACTGAAACATGTACACTGCAGTGTAATCCAACATCAAACTCTACAAGCGATACTCCCTTAAATACTAAACACTGTAACTGAGTGTCTAACTGTGATTAGTCCAGGTCTCTTGATGATGTGGTTTGTGATGTGCTGAATTGCATTAAAGTTTGTTTTTTTAATTCACCATGTCTATAAATTGGGGTGGATTACAAATTCACCTTCTTAATCTTGATCTATGGATAAAAACTAGAGCATACTTTTTACTGTGAGCCATATGAGGAAAATAAATTGTATCATTAATGTCATTATTAATAAATGTACTAAATACTCTGTGGAGAACAAAGCGGGGTAGGCTGGTTGACATACTGGTTTGTCATAAGTGTATACATTTGAATTCACTATACAAAAATTTTATGCGTAAATGATATTTGCATTTTAGCCATAGATGGCACTAAGGCCAGAGCCCTGATTTCTTTTCAGCAAAACCCTAAATATTCATTGTCCACCATACATGTCATTTCTTCTACTGAATCCAGATCACAGCTGCATAGTAACCCATGACTTCTAAAAGCAATGGTCAGAGCGAAGCGCTGATAGAACGGAAAACAGAGCTATCCCTTCCTCCTCTGGTGTCCTCTCTTTGCTTGGTATCTGTCACTCACTGGAGCACCAGCTCGAAGAGTCTCCAGTGGCCAGTTTTTATGTTGCAACAGTCAGGCCACCAAAATGACAGACGTTTAGTCTGAACTAAGTTTTGACAATATTCACTCAGCCTATAAAACTGCACTGCAGTATTAGAGTTGGCAGCACATTTTTCAGTGCGAGCATTGTGCGTCTACAGAAAGTGTCCACCAAGTAGCAACGAGTGCCACCAGATGGCAGAGCTCCTCAGGTGCACCTGAATGCATAACATTATCCAGTTTGTTCATTTGGTGCAACTGATAACTGTTCACAACTGCTCTTGTTTTCAGATTCAGTACCTGGAAATATACATAAATCTATATGTTATACTGTATATGACAGAAAACTTTCCGGATAATGAATTGAACAATTATGTGCATAGGTAGCTTTTTTTTTTTTTGTACACTTGTGTTAGTATTTCACTCAAATGAAAAAGTTTCCCAGTCAGATGAGGATATGATGGTTTTCTAACACATAGTGTACATGTTTAAAAAGTAGCTGTACACCTGTAAAATGTAATGCAACAGTAAATCAGTTATTATTTAGCTATTATTGAGGTTGTTGTTTGCAATGGGTTGAACTGGACCGCAGTATGTTGAGAGACGCTTCTAATGCTTTGTTCTTGACATTTACAAAAATGAAAATATTAGAAATATATTTTAATTTAAAGACAATCCAGTACAAGCTCAGTTATAATCCTAGTTAAATTAACACCTCTTTGACATGTCAACAAAAATTGATCATCCTAATCCTCCTGAATGTAAAATTTGGTGGAGATCTGTCATATTGGATTGTTGTATTGTATTGTTCCAGTTATCATGTTGGTTGCTTCATGAAATCTGTATGCATTAGTAAAAACTGCAAGCATGAGGCTGCAGAAATGCATGTGTGCCCACATGTATATATTCATATGGCCAATTAGTGCTTGCACCTCTTTGCCTTGTCTGTAGAACAGGGGCAGGACACATCTGGTGTCAATACGTCTTAATTACTTATTGCAATTCTTCTCCTGGATAGAACATATTGGGACTGTGGCTCGCTTTAAAACTTGTCAGGTTCCAGTGTACCTGCTTGAATGGAGCCAGATTGCCATCACTAGATCAATGAAGGTACTGCAGGGGAAAGCTTTTTTTGCAACAAGTCAGCTGAGCTGAAATTACACCTAACCGTTATGCTCAATATGTTTGGAATAATATATATATATATATACACACACACACACACACATGGCATATACACATATTATATATATACACACACACACACACACACACAGAGAGTATACAGTATGTGGTCTATTGTACTTTACAGTCTGATTCATGTAAAACACTAAATTTCTTTTATGTTTGTGTTTTTCAAACAAAGGTAGACATTACAACATTACATCATTTCTTTGAAGGCAGGATAAAGTGAGTGTTAGCCTTCTACGTAGCCTTCTTCAGTTTGATAAAGAGAAACAAGCCCAATTCCCTATTCCATTGTTTTTTTGCCTGATACACTTTCTTTAACAAAACATTTAAATAAATAATGGTTAAACCCTATAGGGCAACGATACTGGGAATGGTCCTACAGCATGTAATTTAAGGTAACATTAGCATGAAACTCCAAATCAGTTCACTCTGCTCCACCCACCACACCCTCTACCTGCTCCACTGTGCCCTATTACAATCTGCTGCGCTTCGCCATGCTTCGCCCATATTTGCTGTTATGAAAATACAATAAATGAAAGTGCAACAAAACTTACTGATCAAGTGGAAACAACTGAAAATCTCTGACTGGTTAGAGAGGTCAGGCCCCCTCAAAATTTTTTATAATATCTCCTCACCTCTGCCAGAGCTGTTGAATGAGTCAGAGACAGGAAGCTTCAACAGCAGCTCTCAACATTAAGGCAGGTTTTGGTGGATGTTTCTACAAAAATAAATCAATAAAAAATACATACAGGTGCTTTAATTGATGCTTTAACAATACCATTAATTTCTGCTAAAGACACAATATTTGCAAAGATTATTTTATCCAAAAAATACTGAGAAGAGTATCTAATACTTTCACTACAGTAAATTATAGCAGATATTTGAACTAAATACTTGCCATCAGTGAAAGCCTTTGGAGTTTCATGGTCCATGTAAAATTAAAACTAGTAAGTACCTGTGTTTTATTCAAAGTTAGAACGGGTAATGCTCTTGGGAATAGATTGGAGGACACAGTCTTTATAGAGAGTTTAGGCAGTAACTGTATCCACCATGCAATTTAATGATCAGGCTTGTGACAGGCCAGTATATTATGAGACTACATACGTCTTCTTCTGTCAAACATACTTATTTTAAGATATATATATGCATATGTGTGTGTGTGTGTGTTTGTTTTGACTGTCTTGGATGTTAGAGAGCATAATGTATGAATTTCGACAGTCCTGAGAGAAACCCAATGTGCCATATATAGTTTCACAGAGAAAACCAAATATTGACGTCAAAGACACAAAAATTTGCCAGTGCTAGTGGTGTAACTTCTGGGCAGAAATGGAAGTGGTTTATATTTATATAGAAAAAAAATATAGCTCAGTCATTCTGTGACACTGCCTGTCCCTGCCAAACCCTACAGGGCAGAGCCCAGGGAGGAGTTCCCCTAAGTACAGATTGCATCATCGTGTCTCATGCTGTTAGAGCAGGCATGCCATCATGCCCTGGCGTCCTCCATTCTTCCACAGGATGGGGCGATTAGGAAGGCTGACATCTCTGGGAACACACAGAGATCCAGAATCCTGCTGGACAACACTCGGTAAGTGACATGCTGTGTCAATATACCACTGGTAGTTTCCATGGCAAATCCAGTACAAATACAATTGTAGTAACTGTTACTATGCCCACACTCGTGTCAGATCCGGTAGCCTAGAATCACCCACTACAACAGTGAACTTGGTAAAGACATAGTATAAGCTAGATAACCATTATCTCCATGCAGTGTTTTTGTAATATGTCATAAATTCATCTAAACCTTGCTTGTTAAACACTGCTTTCTTTTTATCTCTCGCTCTCTTTTTTCAGAGCACTAGTTTGTATTTAGGCTGTCATAAACAGCACTGCACTGGATGCTAGACTAACAAGCCAAGGTCCAAAGACTGCAGTCTGTGCAGAACAAAGCTGGGGTTGCCGTTTCTCTGAGCTCAGCCAGTGCAGCAGAATGTATGGCCAAAACCACATGTTTTAGTCATATTACAAGAATCCATTGGAAACCCAGAGCTCCTTGTGGCTGACACAGGAAGTCAAGTTGGCTTTTCAGCAACAGAGCCACTGTTACAGCTTACTGACTTTGAGATGCGACTTTTATAGGGGACATACAGGATGACAAAAGTTCAGGGCCAGTGCCCTTAACTTCCTGTCACCTTTATGCCTTAGGATAATACAAGCTCACCTTCATGAGCAGAAGTTAGCTGACATATTGCTTCACTATATGGAGCGCAGAGACCCTTAGGAGAGCTGCAGTGCTGACAGACCCACAGAATAGAAGGAGGGATTCGGGGCTTACTCCCTCAGAGAATAATCCCACCACCGTAGAATTTAGATACACATGAAGACAAACACAGACACACACACACTGCATCTATTGAACATGTGCATTTCCATGCAGCTCAGTGACAGACAAGGAGACGGCGACACATTCACACCTGTTAGCACCGGCAGCACGGCCCAGCTCTGACTGACGGCTTCCCTCTGGCTATCATCACCTCTCAATGGCAAAGCACTGTCCAAGCAAACAGTCCATCATCAGCACAACGGAAGGCTCTGCATTACTACAACATCATTATCAACAACTTTTCCACATCTCTGCTGATTAGACCAGACAAAGAGAAAATGTATTTTGTTTGTTAGGAAAAGCTCACTTACTGGAATGTGAGCCACCGGGTGGGAATAACTGAGTGTTTGTGCAAAAGGATAAATTATTGCTGTTGTGTGTTTCCATGTGTGCAACTTGTGTGAAAGTGAAGCTGTATGTGTATGAACTGCTTTAGAGGAAAATCAGTAAATCACTGTTGTCTGATTTGTGGCCATGAGCATTAAAAGGGGACTATATATGCTGTATGTCCGTTCTGTAAATCACTGTTGTCTGATTTGTGGCCATAAGCATTAAAAGGGGGCTATATATGCTGTATGTCCATTCTGTGTGTTGCAGAATGAGCTGTGAGGTTAATTTAATGTGTTTGGAGGAATCAGTCTTGTCAGTGATAAGAAGTGGGGAGATACATTTTATGTTGTCATATATCAAGATTATACGTAGTGCAGAGAAGATATGTGCAAGTATGGACAGGCATGCATCTCCAATTACTCCCTTGAACTCAGAGAAGCTAGCAGATGTTACATGAGCATCTCTAATGTGAACCTTCTGTTGAAATGTGAAAATCTCATGGTTCTTCATTCAAATGACATATTTACATGTTTGCAAGGTAGAAACAGAGCAACAGAATATCCTTTTCCATCACAGAGGGCCACAGGGGACATAAATCCTACAAACATTTAGAAAAAAAGGATCCAAACTGAATGATACTCTGAGTTTCTCCTCCTGACAGGTAATTAATTGGCAGCTCTTACTCTGCAGCGAAGGAGACAGTATGTTAAACATCTCTCTGGCATGAACTCTGATCCCTCATTGTCTGCTTATCTGCACTAAAGGCTTACAGATGGATGAGTCCAAAGGGGAGGATTAAGGCCGTGTGGTAAAGTCATCACACGGTGATGTAAAGCAGGCGCATGTCAAGGCATCTCTGTAAGTTCAAAATGAAATGAAATACTTATTTGATTTTTGTTTTACTTTTTGTCTTCCAAGCAGCTTCCTTCCCTTCCATCTTGCTTGTTACGAGATTTATTAATGTTATTCTTTAGATCGTCTGCATAATGTATGACATGTCAAAGTGTTACATGGCTCACCAGATTTTGGTCCACTGTCAAGATCTGACATAGTATGCCTAACTTAGAGAGCTGCTGAGTCCTTAGTTTGACCCGGAGGATTGAAAAGAATCTACCGATGCTTTTTGTTCTAGTCGGATTTTCAAGGTTCGAAGCATCTTCAGCCATCCAGAGTTGTTGACAGACTCTTTCACAGTTGTTAGAGTTGAGAGTAACTTTTCCATTCGCTCAACTTTTTCAGCAGTTAATTTGAAGTCATCCATTTCTTCTTCTGAAAAACTGGTCTTCTCTCATAAGGCTGTCAGGCCTCATGTTTGCTTAAAGTTTGACTTTTTTTTTCTTTTGAATAACTGTTTATAAAACCTCTTCAGTTGAACCAACATGTCTCTTAGAATCTTAACTTTAACATAGGCTCTTAAAAGATGGTTGTCTTACTTGGGTATACCTCCTTAGAGGGTACAACAGCAGTTCAAATCCCTGGTGATTGCCAGTAGTCAAGGCCCTCCTTCGACTGTGAGGTCCTCCAAGACAAACAGGTGTCATGAAGCTTCCACCACAGTAGGCCAGGAATATGATGATCCACTTAAAATCTCAGCAAGAGAATGCCATCCATAACTAGGAGAACGATCTTTAAGCAGAATGTCATTCACACAAGATTATAAGCTTAAATTAGTTTAAAAAAATAAAAACCACAGACCAGTATGATTCAGGTAAAAAGTGGTTCCAGTACATGCAGCTGCCAAACAGGAAAGAGGAAATGCGACCAAACATAGGCTTTAAAGGATTGTTCCCCACCCTCTGAAAAGTGCACAAGAGCTCCTTCACTGATGGACATTGCACATTGCATTGGTAGTGCACGAGGCAGTGTTTCTTCATTTGATGCTGATTGATGCAAACTCATAGGATCAGAATATTGACACAACACTATTTACTTTCCACAATGTCTAAATCAATTTTAAACAATTTAAATAAGTCAATTGCTTGGTTGTTGTTAGTCTGTTTTAATGGAAAGTTTGATAAAATCCAATATATTACAGTGTCCATTATCTATGCCTAGATGTTATCTCCTAGTCCATTAACTAGAGTTTATAATGTGGTATGATCAAATAAAATCAATTATCTATACTAGTACTAGAAAATAATTATTGGTCATGATGGTCATTCCAGTATTCCCAATTCGTTCTGATGCAATGGTTCAAAAATGCCTCCACAGGTGCAGGCACATATGAATGCATATGTTTGTTTTTAACCTGTATGCATACACTTGTTTTGTTCAGTCATCATTTAAGACCAATTCAAAGTTGCTCATTTTGCTTAAAGTAAGCACACTTTATCTTCCACAAGCCCGGCTGACCCAGTTTATCTCGCGGTGACTACCGGTTAGGAGACAGCTCAGGGCTATCTGTGTGGGTGGGAGGCCATCCCAGGCTATCGTCTGTTCCTCCTCCACTACTGCTTATCCTTTCAGCCTGGAGAAGTCTACCCGTTTGCATCGAGCTGCTGGCAGGAATTACCACTGATAAAAACAATTCAGTCAGTTAGACACAAAATAACGATATGACCTTGAGCTTAGTCTGTCAAACACACAATATGTAGAGGCATTAACAACCGATGAAAAGCTAAAAACCAAGAGGAGAGTAAATTTAAAAATTTATTTTGTTTTTTCTGAAAAGCTACAACACTATAAACAGTACTGTACCACTGTATGCAGCTTTATGCTATGATCTGCTCAAACATCATATTCACTGAAGAACTTCTCAGCTGAGCCTGACAGCATGAGGTCAAGAGGCCAGCATGATCATTCCTCCCCTCGACCCTTAGAGTGTGTCCTGACATCTCGGGGATGTTCTCATACTGTATCACAAATGTCTCTGAGTGTCTCCAAACATTTCCTTTCACAGCAATTCATTGTAATGTTACACCACAGAGAGTAGCCCCACCATTTTCACTAATTCACTTCTTCCATCATCATGATTTGAAAAGTGTGGAAAGTGCAAACACATATACCCTCATGTAATTGTGTCTTTTGGTTGATGAGCCCAGCTCCTTGTGGCCAGTAATTCACCCATTAGTCCATTGCTGGCCAGCAGCCCACACCACCGGCTGTCCTGTCAACCAAGCCAACAATCTGATGGCTGTAGAATACTGATGCTCAGCTGTGAGGCCCTGTGTGGGTGAAACACTTACCTCTTAAAAACTTTGAGGCTCTTGATTTTTTGTTTTGTTTTGTTTGCTTGTTTGTTTTTTGGGCGGGGTTGCTTGTTTGTTTGTTTTTGATTGTTAGTAGTAGACCAAGTGAAGCCAATAAACGGGGGATGGTTGAGACTGGAAAGTGTTTTCAAACTCTGCTGTTTTATCCTGGATAATCAAAAGCTTTATAACTGAAGTTGGCATTAGGAATCTGGCAGCTATAACCATCAAAAGGTGTAAAATTGTCAGTGACTGCTTTACACAAATGCATATCCTTGTCAAACTCTAAATTCACAAAGAACTTAAATTGTTCTAACAACTGTGAATATGTGCTGTAAGTCCTAGAAACTGAGCCTCGGACCATATTTCTGTCTCTGTTAAATGCAGTCCGACAGTGGAAAGGCAGGGAGCACTTACTTTAGATCATGAACATTCAAACAACATTCATTTTATTCAGTACGCTCATTAATAATATTTAATTACATGTGACCTTCCTGTTATCACCAGTTAAATATTGTGTAATTCAAGAAACTTTGTAATTAGTCTGTATTGTGTTTGCACTTTTTATGTATACAGTTTGGAAATCTATCCAATGAGCTATTACAAGGTAGAGTAAACAGGCTATTTTTCAAAGCCAAGAACACTTCCTCACCATATTTATAAATGGTCCAACTCAGACATCTCTTACATTGCATTATAAACTGGAGATTTCTAAGACTCCAAACTTGAACCGCAATCTTGATTTGCCTGGAAATATTGTGGCTGTCGGCAAAAGAAAAATATACGTTTCATTTTAGAAATCACAGACAGAACATGAGCAGGCTGCCAGTGAGCAGCCGTAATAACCAAGTGACGGCCCCTGGCAGGAAATGACACACATGTCGTTCCTGGGCATCACAAGGTAGCCCTGACTTGCCCAGAATAAGCTCTGCCAGTAACAACAATATTACACACAGATCTCTCTATGTGTGTGCAGGTTAGAAAAGCAGGGGCTGGCAGTTTCTCCTTCCCCTCATTATTTCCATCTACTTCCCCTGCTAGAAAATCCTCTGATGCCATCTCTAATAGCCAAGACAACCAACAAATCGCATGCTGATCCTCAGTAAGAGCTCGGTCTTCCACTGGACGCTGGCTGACCAGAAATGAGACAGATGATCTCAAGACCTATAGAGTGGCAAGATTTGAGCTCGGTCTTCCACTGGACGCTGGCTCACCAGAAATGAGACAGATGATCTTAAGACCTATAGAGTGGCAATAACATCCACAGGTAATGGGATGTTTATACTTTCTGACTGACCAAGTTAAATATTGCTTTTTAAGCACAAAAAGTTGACTTTTTTTTAAACAAAATTATGAATTGTTATGAATTTCCTTCACAATCTCAGGTACTGGGGTACATTCTGACATCATATAATGAACTGCTGTTAGCTCATGTGCTATGTTGGGTAACTGAGTTTAGTGTAACACTTTGGTATACTGTTTTATAACAAATTTATGGTGTCACTGTTTCAAAATGCTAGCGCTATTTGTTACGACAAAACAATGCCACAATGCATAAAAATGCATGCAAAACTGACAAGGTTTCACTAAGGTGTCTGTTAAAACACCTCCATTTCTAATAGCTGTAGCTGTGTGTTTGACTGACTTATGGTTTCATGGTTTATGGTGTTTTGTTCAACTGAAATCATTAATATTCTTATCTTGACATTATTTAATTCTTGGGAGGTTCAAGTACATGAGACTGGAGCTCAAAAGAAGTTGGAGTGATTTATTTAAACTGTGACCACCCCTCATCTGTGACACTAGCATTCTAGTGGTTTTACATTTCACTATACCAATACAATCATTCATCACAAGAGCAAATATACAGCCAAGTGTTTCTCTGTTGCACTGGAGAGCTTAATGGCCACATTGCTTATTTTGCCCCACTGCTGAAGGAAACATGGAGTTCAGACTGGAAGCAACCTCAGCAAGGCCTAGTCAGGGGCTCA